GAAGGAAGCATATTACTATGTAATGAACATGAACTTTAGATCCAGACAGCCATGGGATAGAACAACAGTTCTTCTACTTGCTGGTCATGCAATATTGAACAGTTTAAGTAAATTCTCAGAAACTTAAGGCTCAGTTGATAATGTGTGCATAATTAACATGTGTGTTTTAGGCTATTTTAAGCACTAAAAAATTATCAAGGATATAAATCACATAACACAATACATTACCCACATAATTTTATGCTTCAATTTGACTGAGCTAAGGGGTGCCCACATAGCTGGTAAAGCATTATCTATGAGGATATTTTTTGAAGAGATGAAGGTTTAAATCAGTAGAATGAGTTCAGAAAATTCATGTATAATCTGGAATCCTATGAAGTTCTCTGGATCCCTCTTGCCTATTCTCTTTCTCCATTCCCCAACCACACTTGTCTCCACAGGTGATACACTTCTTCCCACAGAGCCTTTACCCCCAGCCTGGAATGTTCCTGTCTACCCTCCCCTTACTCCCTTTTGCTTATTCCTCATTGTCTTTCCAATCTCAGTTTATTCATCAACAAGAGTCTTCTTTGCCAAGGGAAATGTAAATGAAAATTACAATGTGGTATCACCTCACACCCACTAGAACATCTATTATCAAAAAGATAAAAGGCCACAAGTTCTGGGGAGGATATGGAGAAAAGAGAATTTGTGTATACTGTTGGTGGGAATGTAAATTGGTACAGTCACTGTGATTCACCATATTAAAAACAGAACTACCCTATGATACAGCAATTCCACCACTGGGTATTTATCCAAGGGAAACAAAGTCAGTATGTCATCAGTATGTCACAGAGACATCTGTTCTCCCATGTTGATTACAGCGTAATTCACAAGACAAGAAATGGAATCAACCTAAGTGTCCATCAACACATGAATAAAATATGGTCTGTTTACACTATGGAATAATATTCAGCCATAAAAATGAAGGAAATCCTGTCCTTTGTAACAACACAGATGAACCTGAAGAAAGTTAGGCTAGATAAAATAAGCCAGGCATAGAAAGAAAATACCACATGATCTGACCCAGTGGTGTTTTGTCAGCTTTTTTATGTTATGGCTATAAGACCTGACAAGAACAATTTTAAAGAGGAAAAGTTTATTTGGGGGTTCACTGTTTCAGAGAGATAGCTAGCTCCATTCCTCAGGATTGGAAGTGAGACAGAACAGGGTGGAAGAGTGTGGCAAAGGGAAGCAGTTCAAGACATCACTCCAGGAAGCAGAGAGAGACACCACTCACCAGATACAAAATACATACCCCAAAAGCACACACGCAATGCTCACCTCCTCCAGCCACACCCTTTCTGCCTTCAGTTACCACTCAGTGAACTCCCATCAGGGATTAATTCCTTGATTGGGTTAAGGCTTTCATAATCCAATCATTTCACCTCTGAATGTTCTTGAATTGTATCATACTATGGGGGGAGGTTTGGGGGGGCCCCTAATATCTACACCATAACAGGTATAATCTTGAAAAGTTGATCTCATAGAAATAGAGGATAGAAGAGTGGTTACTAGGGATAGGAATAATTAAGGTGAAGGGGTTTGGGGTCACAAGGGATTGGTCAAAAGGTACAACATTTAAGTTAGGAGGAATAAAGTCAAGAGATCTGTGGTACAACATAGTGACTATAGTTAATAACATGTTGTATTCTTGAAAAATGCTACAACTGGATGTAAAGTGTTCTCACCACAAAAATGATAGCTCTGGTAGCACACACCCTGTAATCCCAGCTGCTGGGGGGCTGAGGCAAGGGGATCATGAGTTCAAAGACAGCTTCAGCAACTGTTCAAAGACAGTTGCTTCGTGAGGCCCAAAGAAACTCAGTGAGAGCCTATCTCTAAATAAAAAATACAAAAAAAAGGGCTGGGGATATTGCTCAGTGGTTAAGGGCCCCTGGGTTCAATCCAAAAAAAAAAAAGATAGCTATATGAGGAAATGTGTGTGATACTTGTCTAGATTTAGTCATTCTACAACATACATACACTTCAAAATGCAAAATGTCATGACTACATACACAGTGAATACACATAATTTTATCTGTAAATTTTAAAGCTAAAATAATTTTTAAAAGCCAATACAATAAAAACATTATGTTGGTGATGAAAATAAATCTTTAGAAATATCAACCAAAAAAACCTTCTTTGGCATATTCCAGGCTGGGTTAGTTCCCTCATTATTCACTTTTAGAATACTCTAGAATATTTTTATTATAGCAGTTGCCACCATTATGATTAAATATTAATTGTTGTATTATTAGCTGTGTTATAACTAGCTCCCAAATGAAAATATGAGTCTCCCAAGGAAGTGAATAAAATATTTTACTTAACACTATAGCCACACAGCCTAACAAAACAAATACTTGTTAAATGAATAAATTAACAAACAAATAAAGGAATGTGGAGTTTTCAGTTCTCTCAAAACCCATTTTTTATTTTAGTCAAGTATGGAAAGAGTCTCTTAACATAAAAATACAACAAAGCTGTTTATTAAATATTGCCAACTTTAGGAAGAAAAAGAATCAGTGTATCATAGGGAATCTGGACTCTGGAACTTAAAGGGAAAATTCAGGACAAAAGAGGTGAAGAGTTTTAGTAATCTCAATAAGAATCTTTAAAAATGTAGAGAGATGATATATAGGAAAAGGATATCCAGGAAACCACAGAGGACTGAAATGGACCCAAAGAGGAATCATAGGTGATATTTGACAGCATGCTCTGGACTCAGAGTCAATTTTATATTTAGCTACAAATAAGATTGCATTCTTCAAGCTGGGGCTATAGCTCAGTGGTAGAGTGCTTGCCTAGCACATATGAGGCACTGGGTTTGATCCTCAGCACCAGAAACAGAAACAGATGAAATCTCAGCTGAGTTCTACAAGACCTTCAAAAAAGAACTAAAACCAATACTCCTCAAAGTATTCCATGAAATAGAAAAGGAGGGAACACTTTCAAACACATTCTATGAGGCTAATATTACCCTGATACCAAAACCAGACAAAGACACATCAAAGAAAGAAAACTTCAGACCAATATCTCAATAAAATTCTAGCAAATTGCATACCAAAAGATATTTGAAAGATTGTGTACCATGATCAAGTAAGGATGCAGGGTTTTTTCAACATCTAGAAATCAACAAATGTAATTCATCATATCAATAGACTTAAAGACAAGAATCAAATGATCATTTCAATATAGGCAGAAAACTCAATCTGACAAAATACAACACCCATTCATGTTCAAAAGACTAGAAAAAATAGGGATAATAGGAACATACCTCAATAATAATGTTTTAGAATTGAATTTTTATCATTATCAAAATTATGGATTTTATCAGGTATTTTGTTTTGGGGGTTTGGGTTTTTGGTATGAGTGGTTGCACATGGCAATGCAGGTACCAAAGTGTGATCTTAACAAACAGGAAGCATTTCATCACTAGAGAAGGACAAAGGCCTGTAAATAGCCCTAGGAATTGCATACAGTGCAAGGAAAGTGGGATATTTGTGTGGGGGCAGGGGGGGATTCAGGTTTTAATTAAGACAAGAAAATAGATGGAACTTGAGGGGAGAGATGGAAAATGTTGAGGAATTTCTTTCAAAGGAAAAATTTGGGTTAGGGGATTAGGAACAGTGGGAGGCTTATTCAAATTAGAGGAAAAAATGGGATAAGTAACCTGCATTACAACTAAATGTATTTTTGTATCATACAAAATCCCTCTCCATTGAGCATCTCTCCTTTCTCCCCTGCCTGGTCTCGAAGTTATTCTCCCTCTCATTGATGGCACCAGGCCCTGGCTCCCATACCACTCTTCAGGTGGGTTCTGCCACTGTCCTTGGTGACCTCAGTGTCCACAAGCAATCCAAAACATTTGTCTTCATGTAACTCTTGTCAATAAATATTTATTGATTTCTTAAACTTACTATATTAGGCAGTAGGTTTTGAATGATTAGAAAAAAATCATACCTCCCATCGTCATAAAACTTACTCTTTAATGAGTTAGATTGACATTAAATAAATAAATACAAAGAAAATAGATACTTACATTTGGTTAGGTACCAAGGTTATGAAAACAACAAGGTTCTATAACACAGAATAGTGTTAAAATCTAATTCAGCTAAGGGGGCAGTAAAAGAAGCTTCTCTAAGGAAGTAGTATTTTAGCAAAAATTAGAAGAGTAAGTAGGCATTATCCAGATAAAGAATAGAGAAAATAATTGAAAGAGACAATAGGACCTTGCATAAATAGGAAAGAAGGTAGAATGGAGGTGACCAGATATGTCAAAATCATGCCTATCTATAGGGAATTCCCATCTGTGTTTAAGTTTAAAAGAATTATTTCAGCAGGACACTTAGGTAATAAATGTTTTTTAAATATAAATATATATATGTATGTATATATATACATATATATTAATTATAGATATATACATATTTTTTTTAATTGTAGTTGGACACAATATCTTTATTTTATTTTTATGTGGTGCTGAGGATCAAACCCAATGCCTCACTCATGCTAGGCGAACACTCTACCACTGAGCCACAACCCTAGCTCCAATTTTTTTTTTTTACACTTCCTACACTGTTGACACTAACTAGAGGTACTTGTACCCCACTAACTGCTTTATTCTTAAGGAAGATTTAAAAAACTAATTTATACTTATGGAATCCTTTTAGGCCTTATTTTATTATGGGGATATTATCCAGGCCCTTTTTAGGGGGTACATATCAGGGAGATTGAACTCAGGGCCAGCCCCAATTTTTTGTTGTTTTTTGTTTTCAGCAATATTTGTTGGAAACAGCAATGTTTCCTGGCTGAGAGTTACCTAATAAAATATCTGAGGAGGAACCTTGAAAAGGCAGAGTAGGAGATGTTAGTATATTGAAGATCTAGAAAGGAGATTTGATAGAATTTTTTGGTGAAGAGTCCTCAAGGAGACGTTAAGTAGAATGGGGACTGGAAAAGCCTGGTGAGGAAAGGAAAGGAGGAAGTAGAAAAAAGAGAGGCAAATCCAGTCCTGTCTAAAGGCTGCTGTGGTGTGATGGAAGAGAGCAGAAGCAGGAGTGGAGCATAGCTGGTAGAGGACAGTCTGCCAAGTTTCCAAGGTAAGAAAGGGAAGAGAGAAAACTGACCTGCTACGGACACTTGCTCTTCCTTTCTCTGATTCAGAATCGGGTTCCAGATGGAACATGTCATGTTCACCTTTGCAGAATCTCTGAATAGAAGCAATGTGGTTATCTGGAACAGGCCATCTTGGTCCTGGGTCTGAAACTCAGACACAGGTGGAATTTAATCTCCAGGAGAGTTTATCCATTGGACCTGTGGCTGAGGGAAACAGCCCTCTGACCTGCACTCCAGTTGGGTTTCTTTGGTCTCAGTAACATCCATGTGGAAGTGAGGAACTGAACCTAGAGCTGAGAAGAGGAAGAGATGCCAGGACTAAGCCATTTCCAACACACAGACCCCTGAGTTCCCCCTGAAGAGTCAGCACTGATGACCAGATTGTAGTGTATAGAACAGAAACTGAGGCTCTGGAAAATATGTTGGCAACAATGGATGAGAATCCAGATAAGAGATGAGTCCAACACTGCTCCTCATTTCTTTTCTTTTCTTTCTTTTTTTTTTTTTTTTTTTTTTTTTTTTTTTTTTGTTGTTGTTGTTGTTGTTACCAGGGATTGACCCTAGGGGCAGCTAACTACTCAGCAACCAGCTACATTCTCAGCACTTTTTAGTTCTTCATTTTGAGACCGGGTCTCACCAAGATGCTTAGGGCTTTGCTAAGTTGCTATGGATGGCTTTGACCTTGCACTCCTCCTGCCTCAGCCTCTAAAGCTGCTGGGATTACAAGCATGTACCACTGCGCTCAGCTTTGCACATTTTTTGACTCCCACCATGACTCTATTTTTTTCTGTTTATTCCTAAACCTTGAAGGCAGCCTGATCCTAGCAGTGGTATATAGAATTATGCGACAGGCTGAGGTATTAGTCACCTCCATTTCTATTACAACCTCTTTATATTTCCAAGGAACATGGATCAGAGAAGGAAATCCATCTGAGAATAAACTCACCCTGAGGGGGTGAGTGTCAAGGGCAGAACCTGGTCCATGACCTGCCACTTTCAGTTTGGTCAATCTATCACTGTGGAAGGAGTCATGCTGGAACCCACAGTGATACTTACCATCATCAGAGGTTTAGATGTTGAAGATTCTCAGGACCACAATGCCTTTACTGATAGCATCTCTCACAAGCTTTGTCCTCCCTGAGTACTCCTCCATGACTTCCCCAGGTTGGTCACTCCCATCCTTGTACAGGTGTACAATCTGGGAGGACAGGGAGCGGGACCAGCTCATCTGCATGTTCTCAGCACTCTGATGAGATGAGAGAAAGCAAGGCAGCTCTGCTTCACCACCCAGCTCAGCCACCACAGGCTCATGGGGCCCTTGGATTTGGAATTCCCCTGAAAAAAAGAGAAACAGAGATGGAGTCAGAGAGGACTGAGGGCAAGAAAGGGGCAACAGATGTTGAAACTAGGAACAGTGGGCCTGGGCTAGAGTGAAGCTCCCAAGGCACCTAGGGAGTGAAATTTAAGGAGGCCCTCACTCTCAGATCTATGCAATTGCAGGGGCAGCAAGCCTCTAGGAATGAGGGCTCCTTTAAATTTTGTGCCTTAGAAATGTTACCTAACTCACCTAGTTCCTCATGGGAATGGGAGGTTGGTGAGGGCCTGAAAAGTTAGACTGCTGGATTTGGGGAAAAGATGTAATAACTTCTTCAGGTTACAGTGTGTTCTCACCTGTAAGAGGGAGGGGTCACATAGGAACCCTGGTGGCTTGAGAGCAAATAAATGGACAACTGTATCAAGAAAGAATCCAAAACAGCCCAGAGGGAAACACGACTGAAAACAGATAGTGTTTGCCACAAGTAAGGGGTGAGAAAATACGACATGCAAAACAACCTTTGCAATGTCTTATTCTGCCATTTCATGAGATACTAAGAATGTGTGCTTCTTAGTTATCATGTGAGGCTTCTTCACTTCCTCTTTATTCTTGCTATATTACATGCACACTTGCACTCATATGCACACACACACATACACACACACACACACACACACACACACACACACGCATGCCATATGTACTCACCATAGGCCTGTACCAAGAGATGCAAGAATAATGCCTGGTACTTAATAAGTTTAAAAGTTAATTTATTTACTTTTTCTGAGTTCTCAAAGAATTTATTTGTACTTTTTTCTCCTTTCTTCTGAGCTTTCTTCCTTTTTGGGTTTTTTTTTTTCACTCTCTCTTTTGTATCATACCACCAGAAACTCAGAATAGGAAAGAGAAACAGGAGTTCCTACCTGCAACCTGGAGATAGAGAGAGTGAGAAGATGCTGCCATGATAAGTTGGAGAGACTCACTTCTTCTTGAGTGACCCAGGAAGGGCAATCCAGAGGATATGTGCTCATGCTGCTAAAGGAGAGGCTGTAATAATGAGGGATTTAAAAAAAAAAATTTTAAAGTGAACTCTGAGATATAAGGCAAGGGGCAGAATAGAAGGGAACACAGAAATCTCACTCCCAGGCAGGAGGGGCACATCTTATCTACGGTGCTAATGTTAGGAACAGACTGAGCTTCTTGTTCCTTTTCTTACAAATTTCAGGACTCTGGTTTTCAGGCCACTCAGGATATCCAGGCTTTCACAGTCTTGCTATTCACACGTATCTGGCTGCTTCAACTCATTCTCCTTTACTGGTTCCTCTTTCTCACCCTGCAGCTTAGTCTCTCTTGGTGATTCCTTATAACTCATGGCTTGCTATGGTCTGGATCTTGAATGTCTTCCAAAGGAGGCTTAGTTCCCAGTCTGTGGCACTGTTGGTAGGTGATGGAACCTTTAAGAGAAGGAACCTAGGTCATTGAAAGGCATGCCCTTGAAGGGGATATTCAGAACCCAGCCTCTTCTCTCTCCTTGCTTCCCAGCCACCATGAGGTGAGCAGCCTTCTCTGCCATGCACTCCCCACCATGATGTACTGTGCCTCCACAGACCCAAAGCCCCAGAGCCAAGTGACCATAGACTGAAATGCTGAAACTGTGAGTAAAATAAATCTTTGTTCTTATAAGTTGTTTATTTTTTATATTTTATTACAACAAATATTAATACATGGCTCCAGGTATATTTTACATGCTAGTGACTCACTTATAAATGTATATTCTGTCTAAAATGTCTGGGGATCCAATAGCATGAACTTGTTTGAGAGGGTCCAGGAGCTTAGGGATCCCTCCTCCTTGGATCAGGAGCCCTAGGAGTGAGCGCTCCTTTAAGTTTTGTGCCTTGGAAATGTTACCTAACTCACCTAGTTCCTTATGGGAGTGGGAGGTTGATGAAGACCCAAAAAGTTAGATTGCTGGATTTAGGAAATAGATGTAATAAGGTGCATTCTATCAGTATCTTAGTATTATAACTGAGATATAAGGCAAGGGGCAGAATAGAAGTGAACACAGAAATCTCACTCCAAGGCAGGAGGGGCACATCTTATCTATAGTACTAATGTTAGGAACAGACTGAGCTTCTTGATCCTTTTCCTACACATTTCAGGACTCTGGTTTTCAGGCCACTCAGGGACACCCAGGCTTCCACAGTCTTGCTATTCCTCACACATCTTAGAATCTGAGCTTGCCCACAGGAGGATTCTGATGTTCCCTACCAAGACATGAAAAATATGGTTACTAGCAGTGAAGAAGGGACTGTAGCACACTCAGAAGCCACTATGATGAGGAATTTGGTGGCTACAGCTATGAAATTTGCTTTCCTGAGCCCAGGGCCCAGAGAGCCAGTTGCTCAGAGCATGTCTAGGAAGGAGTTGGCCCAAAGAATAGAGAGGAAGAGAATTCCAAAGGTTATGTGCTCTTCATATCAAAAGAAATATTCTTTATATGTGGGTGAATGAATCTTGAGCAATGGAGAAATGTGATATGACTATACAGGGTCTTAGATGGCCATGGCAGCAACTGCAAAGACAGAGAATGTAATTTTTTATGGAGTAGGAAGTATATCCTGACACATGGAAAAAAAATGATACCACTTTTTCATACTGTAGTAAACTGGAAGGAGATTTGTAGATATTTACATAGGCTTCATTAAAAATTACATTTAAAATATCCTATGATTATGATAAGACAATGAAGTAGAAATTATTAGGAATCATGTTAAATATTAAATTTCAAAGGAATAAATATAAATATCCTAAATTTTTATAACATTTGACATTGCTTCAATAAATACCTTTATTTCCCATTTTATACTTGAAATGACTACAGATAATTATCATTTATGATTATTAAGCATGATCTTTTCAACTTCATGATATTCACCATTGGTGAGATATTTTATTTGTTCAAGTTGATGATATAAAATTTTAAGATATTTTTATTCTCATTTTTTGAATCACATTTAAGGAATTGAATAGTTCTTTCTTTTCTTTACAATATAATATATATAATGTATATGTATAAACTTGAAATTAATTAATTTTTTCTTATTGTTCAAGATAATAATGATCACAGAAAGTTATTTTGTGGATATTGACAAATGAATTCTGAAGTTTTATATAGAAAGGCAAAAGACCAAGTAGACAATATATTACTGAAGGAAAAGAGCAAAATTGGAGGATTGATATTACCTGACTTCAAACTTATTATAAATCTTTAGAAATCAAGACAATTTGGTATCATGGCATTTGCAGGGAAATGGATGGTGCAAGAGCAGATTATGCTAAGTGAAGCTAGCCAATCCCTAAAAAACAAATGTCTTCTTTGATATAAGGAGAGTAACTAAGAACAGAGTAGGGAG